AGAGAGAGAGAGAGAGAGAGAGAGAGAGAGAGAGAGAGAGAGAGAGAGAGCAGCAGCAGCAGCAGCAGATGTCTGAGCATATTTTTTGTGGTACTGGGTGCATGGCTGGCTGCAGGCTGAAGACTGTGTTCATCCCAAACCTGGCGACTCTACGTGGACCACAGTTCAGCATTGATGCCCTTGCAGATGCATTCGTTAATGTTATTCAGGTGCATGCTACTTCTTTCTGTACCCATCTTCTTGTGGTGCCAATGTTCATGCTGCCCTTTCTTGGGGCCCTCTTTTGCTGCTGCTTCCCAACGTGCTGTTTCATGAGTTGTTCCTGCTGTGTTTGTGTGGTCCTTGTCTTTTCTGTCTGTGTGTCTGTGTGTCTGTCTGTCTGTCTGTGTGTCTGTGTGTCTGTGTGTCTGTTCCTCTCTCTCTCTCTCTCTCTCTCTCTCTCTCTCTCTCTCTCTCTCTCTCTCTCTCTCTCTCTCTCTCTATCAAGAAGCAGAGTGTTCACTCCGGGATTCCCAGCACCTCTGTGGCTCGGTGGACAGCTTGGTTGTGGTGTAGGACGAATGAGGAGTAAGGCGCACACAAATTCGGCTCAAAGAATTGGACTCGTGGCCTTTGCCTTAAAAAGAGGACACTTAACCAATAGTCTAAGTGAGTTGGGGTGAGAGTGAAGCCACGTTGAGAAATTCTTCACCCCACCACAGCATGAACTTCTCCACGACTCGATGCACCTAACCACACACTGTTGCTGCATTAGGTCTCTTCACCTCGTGATGTGCAGCGTTCTGTTTATTGGCACATATTCTGATTCGGGCCATTTAGCTCATGCTCACACTAGGTCGAGAGACCACCCCTTTGGGGTTGGTCACTCGATTCCATATGAGCATCAAAGTTCGTTTCGCCCACCTCTACTCCCAAATGCCACACCTGTTCACGAGTACTACTCTTTTGCTGTATTTACTATTTACTGAAGAACGAACGCGTTTATGGAACACTGCTTTCTTCACGGGTATACATCGTATATGTATGGTCATTAATAGCTGTATTTGGGGTATCTTTCAATCTAAATACAGCAATAATGACCGTACGTTGTATTCAGGCGAAGAAGGTACTCATCTTTCCGCGTCGCTAATGCCAGATTGCAATGTGTGGCACTCTCCTTATGACTTTGGACATGATTTTTCCTAACTAGAATCAACGATGAAGGGCGTAGAGAGCCAGAAGAGTGCCAGAGACAACGATGAAGGGTGGTCCCAACCAACCCGCCGTTGCAGTCACTATGCCATGGAGGTGTTGGTGTACAGCAGAGGCTTGGCGAGACCAGAGACAACGATGAAGGGTGTAGAGAGTCAGAAGAGCAGCAAGCAGGTCTCACCAAGCCTCTGCTCTACACCGATGACCCCATCGTAGCGGGTTGGTTGGGACCCGCCTTGAGTAAACCACACTGAGTTTGTTGGTATTTCGTTTAGGAAATGTATAACTAACCAGTATCCCCTAACCACTAACCGTTAACCAACGACTAACTAACCGCTAACCAACGACTAACTAACCGCTAACCAACGACTAACTAACCGCTAACCAACGACTAACTAACCACTAACCACTAAGTAACTAACCAGTAACTAACCCGTAATTAACCACTAACTAACACACTAACTAACACACTAACTAACCAGTAACTAACCAGTAACTAAGCACTAACTAACCAGTAACTAACCAGTAACTAACCAGTAACTAACTAACCACTAACTAACCACTCACTAACCACTAACCACTAACCACTAACCACTAACAACTAACCACTACAAAGTTATCTTCACGACTTTCTCTTCACACTGGTGGCATTTCTTCTGTGTTCTTTGTTCAGTTCTATTTTTTTTTATATCTAATAACTACTTTCCGACAAGTTGCTGCTTCCTTTTCATCTGGTTCTACGCTTGCTTTTTCTTCTTCATATTTCTGAGTTTGTTTTTCTGTCCGCTAATCCTCTTCTTATATCATGGATTTTTCAAAAGGTAACATAACAATTATACATGGTTTCATACAATTTTTTACTGCAACAGAACCTTTGGTTGTGAAGCCCGCCCATAAATCCTCACAGGTTTACGTTTTTCGAGTTTCTCTTCAGAGTATGAAGGAGCTTAAACTACCACTACCTTTCAGAGAGAGAGGCTCGATCGTGAATACCATCTATACTGCATTCTTCGGAGGCCAGCGTAGGCCGGGCGCCGCCAGACCAAAATGGATGGCGGCTCCAGCCAAAACAGAAGAAGAAAGGTCGCGCTGGTGCTTTGGCAAAGCTTGCCGCGCAGTTGCACTCCGCCTCGGCAAGACAAGGCTCAGAGGTAGTTTTAGTTGGAAAAAAAATAAACGGGTATCAGTTTTCCGGTCACCCAATTGAAGGTAATAATATTATAATATGCGCCGTTTGCAAATGCAGGAAGATCTCCCATCGAGAGTTCACACAATTCTACGAACGGCGGGTAAACTGAAGAGCTTCGCATTAAATAATGATATTTGCGATGGGTTGTTGCGTCAAGGGTCACACTCATCACAGGGGACATTACCGACGCAAACCTATGAAACTCCTGCTGGAGCAAGTTGTGTCCACAACCGATCATCAGAGGTCATCCACCCATCAAGGACCAAGAAATTCTTGGGGACGATACATGGCGAAGTACTCGATGAGGAAAAAAACAGTGGCATCTTTCTTGCCTGGTCACCTGACGATCACTCTTTGCCTTCATCCATCCCAGTATCCGTAGGAGTAACGTCTCCTCCGCCTGGTGGTCCCGGTCGCCGACCAGAGGAGAAATGTGGGACTGCTTCTTCGAGGTCAGCTGGCAGTCCTTTGCTGGGATCGATCCCAGGACGTGTCGAAGCAGAGACTGTACTGGCGACCGACAGCACGGTGCCCTGTATTGCAGTTCAAAGATTGTGTCCCATTTGCGGAGCACCATTGATGCCGGAAGAAATGACGCGATTCCCGATCAAAGTGGGTTTGCCTATTCCCAGTGCATGCAGTTCTAATGCCGATGACACTTTTCAGAGAAACCACGACACGTTCCCATTTCCTGAGCGGTCAAACAATGAGAAGACTGTTGTTGCAAAGCTATCGGATGAGGGACCGGGAATAGGACATGGTGCTTCATTGCGGAATTCGAAGGACCGTTGCGGTGCAGAGATTCAAAACTTCAGAGGGGGCAAGAGGGAGCAGCAAGATGACTTTGTGGTTGCGCAGTTGTGCTGTGACAGCTGCGTTCGACAGTTTCTTACACCCCCTCGGGTACTCAGTGGTCAATCGAGACAGGGAGCCGATAAACGGTGGCCGAACGAACTCTCAAGTAATGCTGCGCTTCTGGAGCATGTGACTAAGACGAGAGTAAAGGATGAACGGCAGAAGATGTGGTTGTTGGAGCGACAGGCCCGAGCACGGTAAGACTACTGTCTTAAGTAACCCAAGAAAAACAGATGTACGTTGTATTCAACTTATCTCTGGAAAACGGGTTCTCAGAAATCGTTGATTTCTTTTTTTTTCCGAACAGAACGTATGATCGAATATAACGTACTTACGTTGTATTTGAATACATCTTACGTACGTTGTATTCGAGTTTTTGCAAATTTTGATTTTTCAAACAAAGTCAGAAAATTCTGGAAAAAAAGTGTTGTACAACATTGCAATACAAACAACTTTTACCCGAGCTTCATGTTGAAATTCACAACCAAATTCAAGAAAAAAAAAGTAAAAAACAAGAATAAGAATGTATATAGTGGTCGGGGCCGTCACTACACGGCCATGCTGTGCCTCTAGCGTGTCTTGAGTGTATTTTTTGGCTGTCACAGACCTCTCTTTGTTTCGTGGGTGTTCTACTGGCTTGTGATGGGGTTTGAACCGACAGTCTGTAGAGTTTTTCCATGTGGTGTGGGTGAGTGGTAGTCTGCTTTGATTTTCGTCACAGGTACCTTGAGGGAAGTGGCTGAGGCCGACCTTAGGGTATCAGTTGTCGGGCAGTCGTTGATGCTTAACCACAGCGGGGGTTAAGGTGGATTGTCACTTACAGTGTAATCAGTTAGGGGATTCTGCAGACTGTTGAGGGTTCAGCCTCTACTGATTGATGAGTCAGTGGTGAACTCTGACGAAACAGTTTGTCACAAGCCCTCGTTTGTTGTCCTCTTCTCCCTCTCTGCCTACGGTTTAGTGGCTGTTGGCAGGCACTTACCTGCTTTCCTTAGCTAGTCTCTGTCGTTCGTAGTGAACGTAGATCAGAGGCGCGGATGCTTGCAAATCTGCTTGCGAAATACATCGAGTGTCGTCAGGATCGCATGCTTTGAAGGTAACTTTGTACTGTCGAGGCTTGTTGTCGTACTTGCGATCCGTGATGACGCGGTCGACTTCCTGATGACCATCCATAAATGGAGGGTCTTGTGATCGTCGGCCCGGGAAGTCGTCACTCTTACCTGGTGTGTATGTCGCCAACTTCGAGGCGTGAAAGATTGGATGGACCGTAAGATGCAGGGGGATGCTGATCACAAATGAGGGGCCATCGGGCTCATCGCCCGCGGCTGATGTTACGGTCCATGGTCCAAGCCACTTGGGGAGTAGTTTGCGCGAAACATCCTGTTCGAGTGCAAACTCTTATGCAGAGACCCAAACCAAATCACCTGCGCGAATGGGACATGGCACGCGACGCCTGTTGGCTTGCTGATGCATGTGGACTTGAGCCTTTTGCATGTTCGCGTGGGCTTGAGCCAACAATTCCCTGTACTTCCGAACGGAGGCGGGGGAACAAGCGGCATCTATGTCGACAGTTCGTGGGAGAAGAAGATCAACGAAGATACGGCCTTTCCGGCCACCGTGGTGCAACTCGAATGCAGTCACGCCGATCGTCGTGCAACAAAGTGTTGTAGGCGAACTCGATGCCGGGGAGGCAGTCAACCCAATCCTTCTGATCCGGACGGATAAGCATACAAAGCATTATCTGAGTAGTCTGATGTGCTCTCTCCATTTGCCCGTTCGTTTGTGGATGCCGAGCCGAACTTGGTTTCATCTTGGTGCCGGATTCCTGCATGAGAGAAGTCTTGAATGCCGACATGAAATGGGTCTCAAGGTCGCTAACGATGTCTTCCGGTACGCCGTGGTTGCAAATCCAGCCAGTGTGCAAGAGGCGCGCAAGTTCAGGAGCCGTGTCGTAGTACTTGCAAGGGCGAAATCGCGCGTACTTACTAAAACAGTCAACGACCGTGAGGATGTCGTCGTACCTGAGGCGGTCACGGGAAAACAGCCCGGTGACGTCCATAGCAATGGAGAGGCCGAGTTCCCGTGGGATAGGCCGGTGACGTCCATAGCAATGGAGAGGCCAAGTTCCCGCGGGATAGGCAACGGGCGCAACTCGCCATAGGGATTGCGGTTGTGGGGCTTGCTGCGACGACAAACTTCACAAGAGTCGCAATACCGAGTGACATCGGTGATGACGTCAGGCCACCCGAATCATTGTGGAAGTCGTGCAATAGTCCGATTGACTCCGAAATGGCCTGCGAGTCGTAAGCCGTGGTACTCGCCGAGAAGGCGAGTCCAAACGATGGTCTCGTGGGACACACAATAAGTCCTTGCCTCGCAAGTGGAGAAGCAAGTACCTGTCGACGATGCCATAATGGCTGTCCGGCGGGTGATCTGAAGATAGCTGTGCATATAGCATGGCGAAATCCGGATCAGACTCATAGCCCCGAATGAAGTGCCGCTGGAGTTCCTCGTCGAATGCGAAGGCATCATGTGTCATAGCGCAAAGGTCGGGTCTGCGTGAGAGTGCATCTGTTGTGCGATTGGAGAGGCCGGCGAGATGTTTCGGTGTGAAGTCAACTTGGTAGATGAAGTAGATCCATCGTTTGATAGTGATGCTCACCTTATCGTGCGTCTTGTAGTAGGTCAATGGGTTGTTATCAGTGACCCATGTGAACCTATGACGGCCAAGGAGGAAGTGCCGCCATCGCTTCAGAGCCATCACGAACGCGAGCAACTCCTTCTTCCTTGCATCATCAAGTGAATTGATAGGAGGCACCTTGTGGCTCAAGTACTCCACGGGGTGCTAGTCGTCGCCGTCGGCGAGATGTTTCGGTGCGAAGTCAACTTGGTAGATGAAGGAGATCCGTCGTTCGATAGTGATGCTCACCTTATCCTGCGTTTTGTAGTAGGTCAATGGGTTGTTATCAGTGACCCATGTGAACCTATGACGACCAAGGAGGAAGTGCCGCCATCGCTTCAGAGCCATCACGAACGCGAGCAACTCCTTCTTCCTTGCATCATCAAGTGAATTGATGGGAGGCACCTTGTGGCTCAAGTACTCCACGGGGTGCCAGTCGTCGCCGTCGTGTTGTTCCAAGACTGCCCCAATGCCATAGCCGGAAGTGTCAGTAGTCACTCTCGTTGGCAAGGTGGGGCTGTAGATGCTAAGGACGGGTGCCATGAGCATGGCCGTCTTGAGTGCTTGGAATGACCGGCACGCGTTGTTATCGAATACGAATGACACCTTTGGCGATTGTAATCTCGTCAATGGTGCAACAATCCTTGAGTACTCGGTGATGAAGCGCTGATAGTAGCCCGCCAACCCCATGAATGAATGAACGTCCGTGGTGTTGGTGGGCTCGGGCCATACATGGATGGCCTTGATCTTGTGCACAAGCGAACAGATGCCTTGCGGCGTCACATAATGGCCCAAGTATTTGAGCTCTTGCTGTGCGAATCCGCATTTGTTGCGGTTGGCTTTGTACTCGGCTTGTTGAAGCTGGTCCAAAACGGTGCGGAGGTGCTCCACATGCTCGTCCAAACTCCGGCTGTACACCAAGATATCATTGAGGTAGATGAGTATGAATTTGTCCAGCATGTGTCGGAACGCCGTCGTCATAGCCGCTTGGAAAGTGGTCGGGGCGTTCGTAAGGCCAAACGACATAACCAGCCATTCGAAATGCCCATATCGCGTTTTGAACGTGGTCTTGTAGCGGTCTTTTTGCCGGATCTCAAGTTGATGATATTCCAATTTGAGGTCAAACTTGGAGAAGAACTTAGCGCTGCCTAGCCGTTCGAGAAGGTCGTTGATGCGCGGGAGAGGGCCGACGTTCTTGACGGTTTGTGCGTTGAGCTTGCGATAGTCGATGCACAACTGCAAGTCCTTGTTCTTCTTCTGGACGAAGAGAACGGGAGTACCGTATGGTGAAGAGCTAGGCCGAATCCAACTTTCCTCAAGAAGATCGTCGAGTTGTGCCCGTAGCACACTTATCTTTTCCTCGCTCATGCGGTAGATGCCACCACGCGGAGGTACGGCCCCGGCCTCGAGGATGATCTCGTGGCGGATGGGCCGATCCGGTACTACTCCGTGCGGGGCTTCGAACACATCGCCGTAGGCGTCGAGAAGCTCGGTGATGTGTGGGTCCGTTGATGCGTCCGTCGATGGAATGTCATGGGGAGGGAGGGCGTGGAGAAAACACAGCCCCATCTCCTCGATGTCGTCCCTGGTGATGGAAGCTCGAATGCTTGCGGCGGATACCACGTGGCAGCTGATCGAAGGGTGAGGTGGAGGCACCGTGCATAGGACTAGTACTCCGTTCCGATCACGAACGTGAAAGGAGCGGCGGTAGAGGCTTATCGGGTGATCCTCGCTTCGCAGCCATGACATGCCCAATATCATGTCGAACTGGGTGTCCAAAATGTCAAAGGACACGGCCTCGCTTGCATGCGGGGCGAAGTATACGGGGACGAAATCAATGCACCGGTCGATGGACTTGTGCGTGTGACCGTCGACCAACTTGACTTGCGTGGGCTGCGACTTCCTCCGAATGCGTGGCCCAAGGCCAGTGCGTACCATAAAGTCTTGGCTGATATAGTTGCGAGTAGTTCCGCAATCGATCAAAGTGCTGCAGGTTGCCTCTCCGATCTGAATGCGTATGTACAACAATGGCGCGTTGATGTCGTCGTACCGTTGTGTCTTGAACTCGCGGTCGATCTTCACAACATAGTCGTGAAGGACAACAACCTCTACTCCGGCGTCCATCAACGGAGCTGGTACTGCAGTGTGCAAGTAATCCCACAATTGGCCCATGAGAACGTTGCAATGCGGTTTCGACAATCGACCGGGCGGGGGAAGGGGGATCCGTTGGAAGTCCGCGAACGTCAACGGGTCGAGTTTCTCAAGTCTTGACCATGACGTCGAATCCCCGGCGATAGCTGGTGGCGAAGCTGCCGAATCGGTTGCCGATGGTGGTGAAACCGTGCATGCATAGGATTGTTGCACGTGGAGTGGCTGGTCCAATGGTGGGACTAAGTAGACAGCGTAATCCTCGTAAGTGAACCGAGGACTCGCGACATCCGCATTCTCCCCAGATGTGTAGGAGGCCGCTAGCAAGGTGGCCAAATCTGTCAGAGTGAGAGGTGGAGTCGCCTCACCTCCCGCGCAGCTCAGTTTCCCGAGCTGATTCGAGGTCGAACATCCTCCTTGCCTTGATCCTGGCAGTGGGAGGTCTTGTGCTTGGTGCTATTGCACGAATAGCAGCAGCCGTATCGGCTGCGGTACTTTTATTCGGCCTCGGTCAAGTTGAACTTGACCCATGGTACTTGCTGTCCAATTTCGGCCGGCGATGCGGTTTTCGCCTTCCCTTTTCCACGGGAGTTGTTGTTGCTTCGTGGCTGGACAGCGGACACCTGATCTCCCACACGGTCAGCAGTGCCCCGCCACCATGACGGTTTCAGCTTTGGGGATGCGAGGCGAACTGGCCAACGAGTCCATTGCTGCGTACCGACAACGGTTCCAAGCTCAGCTCGCACTGATCGAGGTTGAGGAACAGCGCCAGGCGGCAGCCGAGGCTGCCCGCCTACATGCTGAAGTGGAAGCAGCAACTGAAAAGCAGCGGCTTCAGGCCGAAGCTGACGCAGATGCCCAGGTCCGCCGCAAGGAAGCCCAGGATCTGCTGCAGCGACACGAAGCCGCCAACGTCGACAAGCTCAAGTTCTGACATTTTGAACCATCCGAGAGCCACGAAGACTCGACACGGGAAGAGCAGCACAAGGAGTTTCTTGCCAAACTCGTGACCCGGTTGGTTTACACTTGTAACCACCTGCAGTCCGAGCTGGCGAGTCCCCGATGAACAGTGCGGAACCACAAGGATCTGCACGAGGATGCCACACGGGCACTCAAATTCCTGTGTACAGGACTTGCAGCTAGCAACACCAGGACCAGATGCTGACGAACCCAGCAGTGCAGCCTCAACCCGCCAATTGGTCTTCAAGGTGTCCAGCTGTTCGCTGATGGTGGCTGGTGCGGTGAAGGTGTTGATGTCGCCAAGCATTGCGACTACATGGTCAACTCGTTCCTCCAATTGGCGGGTTGAGGCTGCACTGCTGGTTTCGCCTGCATCAGGTCCTGGTCAACTACCGTAGCAGACATGCAGAGTTGCAAACCATGCAAAGCACGCACAAGACTGAAGAAACAGAGGAAAAAAAATTGAAAAAAGTATGATCGACTTTGAGGTTTGAACTTTGAATTGAGTAATTCAAGTTCATAATTATGAGAGAGAGAGAGAGAGAGAGAGAGAGAGAGAGAGAGAGAGAGAGAGAGAGAGAGAGAGAGAGA